GACGGACAGTCAGTACAGCTAAATCTCCGTTACCACGCACGATGAAACTTTCAAACTGATTCTTGGACTCAGCGCCAGAGTGTGACGTGTTCTCGAATGACAGAAGATTATTTTTGTCGGAAAGGTTGAAGTTTTGCGAAAGAGATGAATGAACTGTAGTATCTAATAATGATTATGTTTTTAAATGTATTGTTTCTTACAATTGAATATGTATTGAGTAGTGTAATTGGGTTTTTGTACCGTTGTATTCGTATATGTTTTTTTTACTTTTTTATTTTACTTTTATTTTTATTGCCATTCAACGTGGCAATGCTGCCAGTCTTTTGGACACCCTACCTCACGGTAGCGATGAGGAAAATGTTTTCTTTGATGCCTTTTGATATATTTTTATTTTATTTTATATTTTAAGTTGTATATATTAATTATTCGTATAAATAAATAAGTTATTAAACTAATATGTTCTATTAATTAATTTAGACGGTTGGTTTCTCGTTCCAAATTGTCGTATTTAAAAATTATGACGAAGAAACTCTATTATCGATGTTATTTCAAAGTAATAGTTAAGTAATTAGCAAAAAATATTCTGAAATTAAAAAAGTGTGTTTTTTTCAGTAGTACTTAGATACGAAACGTCATTTGACCTCAAACTCAAATTAAATTATTTTAATTAAACTGTCAAACACCAAGCGGTCACCGGTGACCGCAACCTATTGTTCTATAATTGTGTCTAGAATGACGGCACTCGACGAGTTAAACCATAATTTGGTACTTTTGAAACGTCAACAAATACAAAATAAATAATTGTCAGTCAGTCTGTCCGTCAGTGAAACTAGGCAATCATGCCAGATTGTAGACTCGAGTGGAGGATAACGAGCAAGAAACTCCATTCGTTTGACTGATGATGAAAATATAATTATATAGTACTTTTTTTATAGTAATTGTTTTAAAGTAATCAGCACTTTTAAATTTCAGAATTGTGTATGCTAATTAATTATAGCTTCAATAAAACACAATTGTTTGTGCAAATCGTATTAAAATATATTTTAGCAGACATGTTATACGAGTACGACATGGTATACAATTTTATCCCTTTCGCTTTTAATCCCCCAAGGCAGAGGTGTACATTACGGCACTTAATGCCACTGTACAATGTAACACCCACTTTTCACTATTTTTGTTATGATTATGAGTCTCATGTAATAGGGAGTGAGCCTATTGCCATATACCGGGTACAAATCCAGACTATGTGCTACTACTGAGATTTTTATAAAAAAACCCAGTTGTATTTTGCTCGACCCTGGAATCTTACTCGAGACTCCTTGCTCAGCAGTTGCACTTGCGACCACTCAGGCAATGAGGCGGTAAAATTATAATATTGGATTTTATTGTTTTATGTTTTATTATAATGTGGTATCTAGGACTAAAATATTCAAATACTCATTAACTCATTACTCTAAAGTACATAGCCACCATCTTCCTTCATTAAGTTACTTGTCAGTACATACACTTCTCAAATACACCACCTAACCTAATTTTGAGTCCTATTTTTAATTATAACTAATTATTAATTATGATTAATTACACTACATACCTATTAAGGCACTGTTACACTGTACACTGTGTAGATCACTGAACCAAACTGAAATGTGAACTCACGCGCAACTCCGTTATATATGCAGCGTACGATTTGTGTGGATACGACTGTGAGTTTTAATTTTGTTTGCAATTGACTCGACACATTGTTGTAGGGAATTTTTATTTGCTTGCTTTGTTTAAGGTCCCGTGTATAATTGTTTATATTATTGATATATAATATAATCAACTGTATTGTACCAATGAAGCTCTTTCTTTTGATATCCATAATGAAGGTAGTCGTGGAAACAATTAAATTATATCAGAGTCAAGTCAAGACTGCCTCATTGGCCGTGTGGTCGCAAGTTGGACTGCCGGGCAAGGGGTCTCAGATTCGATTCACGGATCGGGTTTATTCAATATTTCAGTAGTAGCACGGAGTCTGGAAATGTGCCCGGTATATGGCAATAGGCTCACCCCCGATTACATGGGTACAATATATAATATAAATAGTGAAAAGTGGGTGTTACATTGTACAGTGGCATTAAGTGCCGTTAATGTGCACCTCTGCCTAAACCCGTCGAGGATGATATTACATCGGATACGATGTATTATAATTGTTTAAAATAAAAAGATTTTTATGTATAAGTAGGTACTTGTTTTAATATAAAACTTTTTTTATCCCTATTCGCGGTAATAGTTAATCATCAGTAATAGTTAATTAAAAATATATAAAACTCTTGTTTACTATGACTTGAGAAAGATACCAGTAGATGAAAAATTTGTGGCTTGAACTCAACCTCCTTAAATTTAACAAGCATATTACGTATTCGTGTTAAATCACGCTCATGATGAGAAAGTGTTCGGCGGACCGATCGTAGAATTTAACGTTTCTTCGTAATATTATTAGTTAAATATTATGTCAGATGCTGTTTGTCTGTATTCGGAAGTAATACTTCTATATTAGTTATTTAGTTCCTCAATAGTGTGTTAAAATATTGTTTAACAATGTCGAATGTTTAATTTTCATAACATAACAAAAATCACGCCTTTTAACCGCGAAGGGGTAGGCTGAGGTGCACATTATGCTACTATACAATGTAACACCCACTTTTCACTATTTATGTTATGAGTCCCATGTAATAGGGGGTGAGCCTATTACCATATATCCGACACAATTCCAGACTCCGTGCTACTACTTTGCCCGACCTGTGAATCGAACCCGAGACCCCTTGCCCGGGAGTCGCACTTGCGACCACTCGGCCAACGAGGCAGTCAAGGATTTTCTAGTTGAAAATAATGCTTATAGTGTTTACATGCTAACTGGTATTTGCTTTTATATTTTTTTATGATATAAGCCGGTAAACTAGCAGACAGGTCACCTGCGACCACTCGGCCAACGAGGCAGTCGAAGCAGTCAGGGAAAAGCTAATAGTGACTAATTATTGTTCATTATATATGCTACTTACTCTTCCTACAGTTTGGTCTTGAATATAAAAACTATTATAACAGGTTTAGCAGCAACTGGAATGCACTGTGAACTGCAGTCATGCAGATTGGATGTGTTGACTGACTGCGAAAAAAGAGGTTATGCATTCGCAGTGGAATAACTGAAATGCAATGTGTAATATTAACACGAACCTATATATTTTGTATGTTTGTGACAGTTTGCAAATATTTTTCTTATGGCATAAGCCGGTAAACGAGCAGACGTATCACCTGATGGTAAGCAATCGGCGCCGCTCAAGGACACCTGGAACACCAGAGGTGTTACAAGTGCGTTACTGGTCTTTAGGGAATTGGATATTTGAGGGCTGTGGAGGGTTCGGGGTTTGGGGAGACCGCGAAGGAGTGGTTTAAGGGGTGGCAATTGGGCCTCCGGTAACCTCACTCACACGACGAAACACATCGCAAGCGTTGCTTTACGTCGGTTTTCTTTGAAGCCGTGGTATCACTCCAGTCGAGCCGGCCGATGCCGAAGCATGGCTCTCCTACACTTAATTTATTTTTGTAATTTTTTCTCCCAACTAATTTAATAGCAAGCTAAACATTTAAATTAATATACACATAATTAGGAAACAACGCTTCTTAGACAATGAAATGGTAGACTTTTGGTAAAATCCGACGGCCGTGCAACGATACGACCTTCAAACCTTCAAAAAATGAGCGTATTTCTTTTTAAAACGCCGGTAACGCACCTGTGGCTCCTCTGGTATTGCGGGCGTCCATGGGCGGCGCTGATCGCTTACCATCAGGTGATTCGTCTGCTCGTTTGCCTTCTATTCCATAAAAAAAAAACGCATCGCGTGTTTGATTTCCGCACGGAGCAATTCTTTGTGTGATCCTCAGATTGTTGTTTCGGGTCTGGGTGTCATGTGTATGTGAAATTGTATGTTTGTAAACGCACCCACGACACAGGAAAATATCCTAGTGTGGGGAGCGTTTATTAAAATAAAAACAAACTTATTACCTACCGAATTATGTATGAAAATGGGGTCCCTCCGAATAATCCCGACGCCTTCAGTTTGACACACATTTGGAATCACTTAACCAAGGACTCAATCTGAAATAAGTACCCCAAAAATTAAAATTAAATACAAATACTTCCACGTGTCTGATCCACGCTAAGCCATCACATTTCCCACGCTAACTGGTCACCGTTGTGTGCAACTCAATAAAAAACTATATTAAATTGTCTATGGCTAGTGTTGCCACATTTATATGGGAATGCGTATTAAATTGTTGCCAATCATAATTAATTTATTTTAAGTAATTGTAACCTTTTTTGGTGTTGGACCTACTTTTTAAGGCTTCTTGTGATATTTTGGTTTAATGGTAATATGCGGAGAACCTAACGGGTTACCAGGGCTCCGACTCGACGTGCAGGAGAAGGAACGGGGTGGTTTTTAATCAGTCTGACACTCCCTCCCGCCTCACCCAGGCGGGAGCAGTCATTCGATGATTATCCCGCCTTAAAAAAAAAGTCAAAGTTAAAATCATTTATTTCAATTAGACCAGAAAAGCACTTTTGAACGTCAATAAAAAGTTATTTGCTCATTCCAAGGTGTAGATTCCTATGGAGAAGAACGAGCAAGAAACTCCATAGGTTACTCTTTTTCAATCATGTTCACAATACAATTTTCTAGTTACATAATAGCTATGTGAGTCTTAGTGTAGGGTCTGCAGATGACCTAGAGGGTTGTCGGAGCTCCAGCTCGCAGCAGGAGCGGGAACGGGGTGGTTTTTAGTCAGTAAGAGTCTGAAACTTCCTCTCGCCTCACCCAAGGTGGTGGATGATTTTCCCTCCTTTGCGTTATTTATTACGTTCAGTTTTTTAAGGTTTAATTCCTGGATCAGAGGGAGTATGTCGTATAATTAAATTTTTAGGTAGAGAGGATTAATCAAATTGCCTTGGGTGGGGCGAGAGGGAGTGTCCCACTCTTACTGAGTAAAATCCCTTCGGTATTACAAGACATCCGAACATAAAACTCTATATTACTAAGTTTCTGGGATGCCGTCTCCTCCTTTTGCGAAGGAGTCAAGCGGAGCGCTGCCTCCTCACAACCCAGCCGTCGCGAAGGACACTCCGGGTGTCGGGGATCGCGTGACGATCTCCGGCCACCGTAAGCACGAGGCTGCGGACGGCGAGGATGGGTAGCTGGTCGCCCGACCAGACACAGACCTGACACCCGACTGACACTCACTCCTGCCTCACCCAGGCGGGAGAAGACAGAAAAAAAAAGAATCCAGAATAGCTTTCAATCACTCGACCAACGAGCCAGTTAATGGACAAACAATTGCCGTCTCTCATTGTTAAAATCATAACAAATGATCGTTCAAGTACTCGATATATCGTGATGTGCAAATGTTCATAGACCATAAAAACTATCATTACAAATTGTTCCCAAAAGGTCAATATAGACTAATTATAACCTTAACGTAGGGTCCACGACCATTTTCTATGAATGTATGGGAATCTTTTGACCCAAATAGATGGTTGAAATTATTGACCTCAAATTTTGAATGACTTATAAGTGAATGACTGCACTGTTGGTGCGGTGGCTGGGCAACCGACTGCCGTGCAACGTCTCGCGGGTTCGATTCCCACAGAAGAACACTTTGTGTGATCCACAAATTGTTGTTCCGGGTCTGGGTGTCATGTGTATGTGAACTTGTATGTTTGTAAACGCACCCACGACACAGGAGAAAAAGCTAGTGTGGGGCAATGTTTAAAAAAAATTGTGTTGGGAAATTTCGTATTTGAACTGTCTCGATTGATGGTTCAGTTAGGGAGTTCAGTCAGTCATTTTTAAGTAGAGAAAAGTATTTTTTGGATTTCCATTTTTAAAATCTCGATGAACTCAATATTTTTTTTAAATGTTGCCCCACACTAGTATTTAATTGTCTCCTGTATCGTGGGTGCGTATACAAACATACAAGTTCACATACACATGACACCCAGACCCGGAACAACAGTCTGTGGATCACACAAAGATTTGTTCCGTGCGGGAATCGAACTCACGACATGAGGGGAGAGCGTATTGCTAAATACTGGGCACATTTTCAAACTCCATGCTACATTACAGAATTATTAAAAAAAGTCTATAACACTTTGCCTGACCCGGGAATCAAACCCAAAACCCTTGCCCGGTAGTTACACTTGCGACCACTCAGCCAACGAGGCAGTAATATTATAGGTATTGTAACCAATACTTGTATTGTAAACCCGATTGAAAAAGAGTAACCTATGGAGTTTCTTGCTCGTTCTTCTCCATAGGAATCTACACCTTGGAATGAGCAAATAGAGCAACTGGAGGACTGACCGACAGACTGAAATTTTTTTAACATTTCAATATTTTGTTTTATGTACAAAAGTGCTTTCCTGGTCTAATAAATTGAAATAAATAATTTTGACTCAGACTTATAATAACTATCGTGAGACATACTAAATTAACTAAAAATCGCGGGTAACTCACGTGAACATACTGAGAAATGCTCTACTAAAAAGCGCAGCCTACTGGCGCAGACGTCACCGCGACCGCGCACGCTGCTCATTAGGAAGAATCCC